CTGAACAATTTTTAAAATGGAGTTGCACTCATATTTAAATTGTAAACTTATTCTGGAAAAGATGTATGAGGCTAAAGAAGAAATATGTCATACAATGAAAGAGCTTACTACAGGATTAAGAGCCAGAATTTCTCCTTCAAACTTCAAAATTGACTTTCAGACTACACCTGATTCTTTTATAAAACAGATTATACAAGAAGAGGACTTAACTGAGAATAAAGAGAAATTGATTTTGCCTTATAAGCAATTCACTTATGGTGTTGAGGACCAGAAAAAGCAAAGACTGAGACTTGAAATGTTAAAGCAACGAGACTTTATGGTTAAGAGAATCAGAGGGCCAATGCAGAGGCCAAGATGGTTCTCACTGATCCAAATGATACTACAAGCAATAAAGAGAGACTTATCAGCTGGAAGGGAAGCTCTGCTATGGAAACCTACTTGGCATAAGAAGAAACCCAGAATAAGATTGAAAAAAAGTGAAAGTTAACAGTTTTATGTAATGAACTAAAGGCAACCTAGAATTATGGACTGATTTAAGGGCTAACATTATGAGTTAGATGTAAGAGAAATGGGCGACTAATGGAAGATATATAAAGTTTATCTATATGATAAGTACTATTTCTAACAAGATGATTTATTTGTTTGATGCTCAATGAATTGAAATAATTTAAGGTTTGATGCTATCTTGTCAACCTAAAGAGATTGATTGATGGATTAGATAGCTCTAGGATAGATCAATATTTTAGCTTAAAAAGGAGATATTTTTAGGTAATGGATTAAAGGTAATCTAGAATTATGGGTTGATTTTAGGATTAAGACTGTAAGTTAGAAGTAAGAGAAAAAGGGGTGATTAATAGAATATATATTAAATTGATTAAGAGTGTGTTCTTTTTTCTTTTTTAGGACAATAGGGTTACTTGTAAGAAAATTATTATGTAATGTTGAGTTAATCTAATAAAATGATTTGTTTGTTTGATAACACGGATGTTATTAGTTATGACAATTAATTGGATGTAATTTGAATTCTGTTATTGGATCGAAATGACTTAAGGTCTATTTTCTTCTGTCAGCTTAAAGAGATTGATTAATTGATGGACTACATACGTATAGGATAGATTAATATTTTATTTTAATTAAGGGATATTAGTGGAAGAAGAATTAAATAAGATTTATGATAAAATCAAGGAACTAGAATATATTTGGAAGGGATACCCGAATTGATAATGTTTGTCCTTAAAGTTAATTTGATTATGGTAGTGTAAATTTCTAAAGCTTTAAAAATAGGTATAGGTTGAATAAATTTAAGTTAGAATTGGACTATTTTAAATAAATTATGTTACCTAAAGGAAAAAGAGAGGAAATACTAGATGTATTGATTGAATTATGTATATATGTTTTGTTTTTGGATGTTTGTCTACCCTAACACCACGATGTGCCTTGAGCACTTGTAAAAACTAAAAAACCAATAAAATTTCTTTTACAAAAAATATGCTAATGTTTTACAATTAGGATAGAGAACAGCTATTTTATCTATAGATCGATAAATTAATTACTATGATAGTAGATAAAGTAGAGATTACAGATGAGAATTGATATTTCATAGATTTTAGATCATTAGAACAAAAAAAGAGAAACAAAACCACATTTAAAAAGAGAACCAAAACCACATTTAAAAAGCATACTTAGACAAAATAATTCACACATTCATATTATACCTTTTAATTGTTCTTAGCTCTTCTGCCTAGAAAACTTTTTAAAGAATATTTTCTTTTTACAAAGTTTTTACAGAAAATGGAAGTAAAGCATGTGAGAGTAAATGGACTGTGTTCGGAATGATTAGTGCTGAACAGGGTAAGGCAACAATGTATAGTGTCTCCTTATTATTGTATAAATCTGTATATGAAAATATGAGAAATGTTAAAGCATTTCAATGTTGTTAGAAAAGTAGTATATCTTATGCAGTCTGTCATGTAGAATGAATGTTGGGTGAAAAGCAGAATTATGTAGCCCACTTTGTTGAGTGGAAATGAGAATTGGTGTATCAGGAGAAATGTTAAAGTAAGCTGAATTCAAAGGGACTAGGGAATTTAGATATACTGTATACCAAGAATGAATAGATTTTGTGAACCGAACACAAAAGTGTATTCACTTCACAACAATAAAAAAATTACGGATTTTAATTTTGTTCATATCAAGAGAATGTAAAATAATCAAACTGCAAAACATACAAAGGAGAGGAAGACTGAGAAAGTCATGCTTGAATAGAGGTAATAAGATTTTCAAAAAGAGACATTTTTTTAAAAAAAAATAATGTATGAATTGGTAAAAGCAGGGATAATTTGCAAGGATAGAAAATTATGGAGCAATATATGAATAGTGTTGATGTAAACAAGATTTAGTTCCATTTCCTTTTCTTTTCTCTATTGCCTTTTGTTTGTTTACTACTTCTTTTTCTGCATAATCTGCTTATTCTGAAATTGAATAGAATAACAGATGTCTATGTATATATATTGTACTAAAAACTCATTTATGTGTTTAGATTTTTCATCTTTTATACTAATTTGAATATTTTTCTAAGACTTTGATATAAACAACGTAATACACACAGCTCAATCTCCCAGTCTTCCATTTTCTTCCAACACTGCCCTTAGAATTTCATCCTTTTGTAACATTTATTTAGATTTTATAGTGAATCTTTCATTCATTTAAACACATATGGCTGCTACTTTGTACCAGCCCTGTGATTCCGAGGTTGACTGACTTACGTTCAGTAAATGTGAATTGAGTAATCTGAAGTTTCAATCCTTCATTTCACTATCTTCCAGATAATCTATAGCTATAAGTGCCTTACTGTTTAAGAGGAAAGCATTTGTAGGCAGAGACCCTTCTAGGAGGCTTGATGCAGGTTTTCATACAAGCGGAGGAATGAATATTATCTTTTATCATTGGTAGGCAACACATAAACAATGTGGTAGTCTCACATTGCAATGAACAAGGACATGCATTCAATTTTGAGTTACTATGATTGTTGGCCGAGCAGGGACAAAACTAGCCAGAGAAATGATTGAAGGAGTGCTGGTTTACTACCAGCCTATCAGGTTCTTAGGAGCTAAGGTGCTGCGGCACAAGGAAACAACAACTAGCGACTTAGTAGCCAGCCATGAATATTCTAATTAACAACAAAAAGCTACATATAACCAGGAACTATATACATACAATACACGGAACAGACCCGAGCACATATTCTAGAGGGAGAGAAATTCTCTGAGGATGGGCTCCAGTACGAGCCAAAAGCTTGGAAGAATAAACCTTTGGTCTTGGTGATCAAGTCAGATTGGATTCTTCAACATTATCCTGGTACACATATATTTATCTTCATTCCCAATACATAAACTGTACGTGACCCAAAATGTTTCAAGACTGTACTTCAAAATAGCCAATAATTGTCATTTGTCTGCTTATTAGGTGGTTTTAAAAATTGAATGGAAGTAATTTGCCTCAGGGAGACCTCCCTCTGTCATGCCCACGCTTACATTGCTACAAAAGGTATGACTTAGTTTGATCTTATAATTTATATTGTCTACTGAGCATATGAACTTGACTATAGTCAATGACTATAATAAAACTGAACTACTTTGGGGGTATAAAGGGAACTGTAAGGAATTTTCTTCATACATAGCAAGCCATCTTGTGATGTATAGAAATCAATGGCCTACATTTATTTTGCATGATATTATCAGAGGCAGCAGCCATATTCCAAAAAGAAAAATGTAAGTTGACTTCAAAATGAAGGAATGAGTTGCAAAGCAGTGGATTACAGTGGAAATAGTAGGATTTAGGGACAGGAGTTTGAATGTTAAAATAAGGATCAGTAGAAAGGTTTTGTCTGCAGCAGTACCGGAATCAGGAAGGATTAAAACATAGACTCTCTCTTCAAAGGCTTGAAAACATTCCTGTTCAGTTGAGTCAGAACTAACATAGAGCAGATCAGCAAAGACACAACATCCATTCACTCTGTGACTAGAGAGCTCTAGCAAACTGTTTCACTTCATTAGAAGGCAAGTTTATCAATCACCGCATTCCCTTCTCTCTTTTTGCTTTATCTATATATATAGAAAAGCAAAATTAAAAGCCCTTTAAAATGGTGCACGTGGAAGAGACTGTATATATGTAATACCAGCTGCTTTGGAAAGAATCCTCCTCTGATTTAAGAATTAAAGAATATTTCCAAAGTGACCTATCTGGAATAAGAGTCATTTTAATCTGGTGCATAAAGCTTAAATTTACTTACTGAACTTCTATAACAAAAGAACCAATTTAGAAAACAAAAGGAAGGACAGAAATAACTGAATTAAAAATAATGGGTATTTAAATTCTATGGAAGGTTTCTCCTTCAATTACCTGCACTTTTAAAAAATCTCATCAGAAAACACATTCTACCAATATTTAAGAAAATGGAAAAACACCCTCTTTTCCCAAGTTTTTAATTGTTAAATCAATTTATAATAATTTTGAATTTAAGTCTAATTATATTTCTGTTGTTTTATACTTTCTTTTATTTTCTAAGCTGTCTCGAGTGTATAGATAAGTAGATCAACAAAATAAGCAGAGCGACAAGGCATTAATTTCACAACAGTGCAAAGCTTACATTATTAAAGAACAGGGGAAGAAACAGTACATTGATGAAATCTCATACAAGCATTATTAAGTCATTTGTTTCTTAGTACCAAAGCATCTCATACATATGATTGTTATGCAGGCTGAAGATGGTGCCACATGACTCTTAAGATACCAAAAGTATTATTCTGCAACAGAATTATTTTTGTGTTAAAAGAAACTGAATACACCCTAACGACCAGCAAAAATATTAGGGAATAATCTTTTTTAGATTTAAAAAAAATCATGTCCTGGCCTACAAAGTAGCACAGAACTCTTGTTTTCACTGCATTAACATGGCTAAAAACAATTAGAAGCCAGTCTCAATTAAATTTTATACTTACTAATAAACTTGTTTTGCATAGTTTCTAGCAGAGCTTGATGAGCATCTTCATTCTGCAAAGCACATGAACAGTCTCTGGCCAGTAATGTCCGCACAAGATGCTCTCCACAACCTACAGAAAGAATATATGCATATAAGCATGGTTGATATACATGTGACAAACAGAGAAATATCTTTATCTTAACTAATAGTTGTATGGAACTGCTATAGTACTTTTTTCAGAGAACAAATCTCAAAAATTCCAATGATCTAGAAAGAACGTGAAAACAAAACAAACAAAAAAAATCAGAACCCATAATTTAGGAACTGAACAGAGAGTATCCGTGCTTCACCATTTAGTCTCCCAGGATTATTTTTTAATATAGTAAAGGTTATTATTTCAAACATGATCCATTGGTTTTACATTCAAAAAAAGCATATGTGTATTTAAGATTCAGTTAGCAACACGTAGGGGGCAATTTTTTCTCACTCATGCTTATTTAAATTTCAAGCCACTTGTGTTATGTTATAAATCAATAATGAAGAACAATGTTATGACATATAAACACCAAAGCCAAACTCAACAACATAGTATATCTTTTTTTTCCCCCCTATGGGGCTGAACCTTATAATAATTCACTTTTTAACGTTTTCAGTCATTAAGAAAACTGAATACCTTATTCCTGCATTGCATATCTACAAAAAATAGTATTCGAGTTAATAACATTTTTCCCTATTTCTTCCTCTTAACAGAAACTTCACTGAAGAGACAGGACAGAGTATATGTCTAATACACTCCCTTGTCTCTTCAGTAAAGTTTCTGTTTTGGTGAATTTGGTGAATTCTTGAATTTCCAAGAGTCCTGTCATTTTTTCCATCGCACTTAGGGAAAACTGTGTGATCAACCGTAGCATACTTCTCTATGTTCTCTGAAAGAAAGCACCAATGTTAACTACTACAGACATTATGTCAAGATATTTTACTGTAGAGATTTACACAAAGAACCTACTTTATCATAAACAGATGCTAACCCAACAGTGTAGTACTTAACGAAGGATCACACTTGCCCCAGTCATCTTTTCAAAGTGCTAAAAGGTCACTCCAGAATATATCTTGCTGAAAACAGACTAGCACCTTTACAGTGACAGTACCCAACTCCTACCCTCCAAACAGTTTAAAATTGTCATTCTGGAATAGTTTACAATACCATCACTACATGCTGCTGACTAACATCCATAGATACTTCCACTATTTTTGTTCCAATGTTATTTTTAAAATAAGGCAAGGAGGCATGAATAGACCCATGGGGAGCTGTATAACACGGACTCCTACCGCTTATTAAAGCCCCTCAAAGAAAAAGTGTTTCTCAAACTATATGCAAACAAGGAAAAATCACATAACTTTAACCAGTTCTAAACTTCAAGGTGTCAGGTGAACGTTCTTTGCCTACAAGTTTGCTGGGATTGTTTAGGAGGCTAAATTTATTTATTTATTTTTATTTATTTATGAGACTTATATACCGCTTTAAGTGCAAGCACTCTCTAAGCGGTGTACACCAGTAAGCAATGTAAAAATATATATATATTTTTACATTGCCCCCAACAATCTGGGTCCTCATTTTACCTACCTCGGAAGGATGGAAGGCTGAGTCAACCTTGAACCGGTGAGATTTGAACCGCTGACCTGCTGAACACAGTCAGCTAAAGTGGCCTGCAGTACTGCACTGTAACTGCTGCGCCACCTCGGCTTGTCAATAAGGATACACTAATTTCACTGGCAACTCACTGACTAATGGACGCATCTTTATGATGCTTGTTTTCTCTTTTGTCAACCTAAAAATGTAAAGGTAAAGGAGTCACTGTGGATTTTACTCTGTGGTCGTTCAGGCAATGCTTATCTGCCTGAAGACATTTCCATGGTCATTTGGCCAGCATGACATCAGTGAGCACTGTTACCTTCCCACTGAAGTGGTACCTATTTATTTACTCGCATTTGCATACTTCCAAACTGCTAGATTGGTAGGAGCCAGGGACAGGAGCTCACCCTGTCTCGAACCTCTTTAAATAGTCTGATAGTTTCTCTCGAGCCCTCAGTAGGATTATTGACAAGATTAAATACTGCTGACTGATGTACTACATCTGTACCATTTTAGGTAAAAGCTCAGATGTCTCGCAGGGTCCGACACTCCCATACAAAAAAATCTCCATGCACATGCTAGTCTTTTAGCCTCATCCATCTCTACCACCATAGTTTATTACACAAATAGAACTTGTTCAATGAAGAGGAATGTTTATTGATTGTTTTGACCATGTATGCGTGTAGGAGAGGGACTGAGGCTGGGCAAACGAATCTGGAATCTTTTTGCCATCAGCGGGGATCCTGTGAAAGAGAGGCAACAGACACAACTGGATGGCTACCAAGGGCCACTCTTGAAAGGGCTGAAAGGGATGTATGAAAGTGCCTTTTACCCCCTCATGACTATATTTCCCATTGGCCTTTTTCATAGAGTAACAGGAATGTGATGAAAACAAGGAAGGGAAAACAATGTTGAGGACAGGAAAGAAGAGAAACGTTATAGGACTGAGCAGTTAGCCTTTCCTCCAATGATTGAGAAGGTCCACATTCAAAAATAAACATAATCAATATTAACTGGACCATATAAAAAATAATCTAATGGTTTCCTAGATTCAGCTGTGGATCACCTGTATCATATGTCACTAGGGCCTCATATTTTCACTGTACAATTATTTCTAAAGCTAAGAAACATTTTTAAAAGCATTTATGTGCATTGCAGTAGTACTCCAAGGTTAGGAAGTCTTTTAGGAGGTGCATGATTTTGTGCTGGCATTCTTCCTGGAATCTTAGAATTAAACATGAAAAGCCCGAAAACTTCAAGGGCTCTTGATAACTTTCTTATCAGTTTACATGACCTTTGGTTACTACTATATGCAATATTTTTCATTTCAGCTTATCACAAAGCCCAGCACCTACCCAAATCCCCTTTAAGCAGATTTCTTAAAAAATTAAAATAACCTCAAAAGTCTTTAAAAAAAACCCCACAATATTGGGCAAAGTAAAACTTATTATTCAAGTCTAGCATCTTAGAATCATCTACCAATGGAACCAAGATGGCATAGCAAAGAACTTCTGTAAACAAGGCATTTCTGAGCAGTGTGTCAAAGAAATTGTTTCTGCTTCTTTTGATGAGATTTCCTTTCAAGTCAGGAAATTAGAAGCAGGTGTGACAGAGGGCATCTGCATTCATACAGCACACTGAAAAACACACGTTTTCAATTTTCAGACATGAAAGCAACTGCTATTGAGTGGAGGAGAAATGAAAAGCCAGGCTTCTTTCTGCAAGCCACATGCAAAAAAGAAGGAAGCTCGGAGCAAGTTACACCGCATGAACTATTGTTAAATGATCAGCCACAGCAGAAAAATTCCTGGAGGATCTAGAGAAATTCATCTCTCCCGGTTAGCAGTACCATTATCTACTGTGCAGCAGTATGGACAATTTTGAGCCTGTATTCCAAAATGGCACCCATCAATATTTCAAAACTTTGTAGTAACTATTCAGTCACATACAAGGAAATGACAACTGAGATTAGAATGAACTGAAGAACTGGATTCAAACAGACAAAAGCAGATGTTTTTGAACGTGAAGTAGAGAGCTAATTCTCTGGATCACAAAATGGCAGAGTTAAAAGTCATACTGACCGACTCAGATGGAAAAAAAAAATCAACCAGCTTGAAAATTGTGATAAACAACAAGTCTTGGATGTTATATCTGTGTTGCGGATACAATAAATAAAGATGCTCATGGTGAAATGATCTGTTTACACGTTCTGATTCAGAGATATTAGAGTTGCTCAATATTCCTAATAATGGTGAGCAATTTACAGCAGTCTTTATGAAGTACTTGTGAGATTTTTTTTTTTTTTTACTGCAGTTGGAACATATACTGGAAACTGAAGCCCCTTACCATGAGTGTTTCTGTTTCCATTAGTCCTATAGTGGTTAGATTTTAAAATCTACATCGGATCATATCCTACACTAATCTTAGAAGGTGGGATTTTCTGAATGGAATGTAAAGAAGATAGTATTTTTCCCAAGTCTCTTCCCAAAATGTTCAGAAACTCAATTTTAAAATAAAGCTTGTTTGGCAGCAAAATGAAATACAAACTTTTTAAAAACATTTTTTAAAGATTTTTTTTATCCTGTCTTTATTACTTTTTTATAAAAAAAACTCTACAAAATAAATTGGGTTAACATATATCAGTGGGAACTTAAAATCTGCTAACTTAGATTGGCAAGTCTTCAAAATTGTAAAGGAACAAGAAACAAATGATCCAGAGAGACTTTTAACTGCAGTGACTCACTTTAAAACCATTGCAAAAACAGTCATAAAATAGAATTCAGTCATGTGGTAATTCAACTTATGAAATCATACTTTTCCCATTTTACTTAAGCCAGCTCCCAAAAGAAAGCAAATAAGCAACTTCAATGAAGTTTGGAAAGTGTATATCAAGTATAAATAACTAAATTTAGCAATTCTGTTTCAAAATGTAATTTTGTTTGTGGGAAATCACTATTAGATCCTAAATTATTGTCAGAGGAACAGTCTATGTTAAGTATGTATTATCTGAATGGGAGGGGCAAACATTCTGTAACTGTAGATAGGTGATACAGAGACAGATCGATTGATAGACAGACATGCTTTATTTCTGAAATATACAATTAAATTAATTGCCCCACCTCCCACATTAAGTAGCTGAAGATTTCCAGCTGAAGTAAAGCACATTAGAAATATTTAGACATTTCAAGATATGCAGCATCAATATATCTCAAGTATTAGCATATAAATTTCAGACAAATATTTATAGGAATAGTAAATACCTGAGGTACTCACAGCTGTAGAGTAAGGATTCTGAAATCCCATATTTTCAGCCCAGCAACCACATCCATAAAGAGCTGCCTGATAGAATAGGAAGAGGATTTAATGTCAAATCAGAGTTTAATCAAATGTTAGAAAAGGAGTTTCAATACAAACACTAGGCTTGTGCAAATCATCTGACAAGGTCCCTTATTTCTAAGCCTTCTACTTCCCTCAGCCTTGAACCCATGAACACTACAGCTTCCCTGCAGAAGACATGCTGAATCTTTTTTTTTAAATACTTGATAGAAAAATCCATAATAAAATAACTCATAAAAACAATACTCAACAAATACAATAAAACAAAATATTATAAACTTAAATATTGGACAAGAATACATTACAGTCCTGAGAAATGTAATCTTTAGGATCTTCACTAATAAAATTCATAAAAGGATGCTACATTTCATAAAAAAAACCCCTCTTGGTTCTGCATTATCTTTTAATATGCTTCTGTATTAAATTTTCCATAGATACCATAAACTTTTATTTTATAATGGCACATTTTCAATATGATTTACAATATTGGTATATTATCAGCAGGTAATTAACTCATAACATTCTTAAACTGTACTCAGAAAAGATTGTCATCAAGCATAATTTTACTTCTTCTACAAATTGCTTGGAATTAATATTGGTAATTACCCCTCTCTCCATATTCCAAAAAGTATTTATCTAAGACACCCCTACCAAAGATCTAAAATACCTCTTTTTCACTGCCTTTCCAACAAATTGGGGGGGGGGTATGATCCTGTAAATCTATTATGTATACAGCAGTACAGTACAATTTATAAATTAACTTTAATTAACTTCCTACATTCCAACAAATGTAGGAATGACTCAGAAGGGTTATTTCTGCCAAATCCTTTCCCACATTGGTTGATCCATGTTTTTTTTAAATCTGCCTCTAGAAGTTATTTAAAGAATTGCTTAAGATGTTACACAATTATTTTAAGAATGATGTAAATTTTAAAGCAAATTTGCTGAAACACTGGCAAGAAAATGGGAGAAATATCCCATCCACTGACTTTTATAGTGAATCTTAATTCAGAGATATATGCAGGAAGAGGACAAATGGCAAAATGAGTGTCATGCCACAAGCTCTGCCACTTTTTATAAAGACATTGGGATATCATGTATAATCATGATATAAATCATGTATAAAAGGGGCAGAGTTTATGTTGCTGCTCCAATGCTCGCTTCATCATTTTGCAAAATTATCAGATTTTCCCCACGTTTCTGTTTTAGTTGTTCAGACTGTATCTCAAAACCTTTTTCATAAATCATGAAAACTCAGAAAATTAATGATATCAGTCTGTAGGCTTATGTATTGTATACTTGTAAATGGATTGGTTTGCTTCGTATCTTGCCATTTCTTCCAGAGCTCAAGGGAGCTTATACGGAGATTTTATCTCATTTTATCTCCACAACATCCACCATCCATGTAAGCTATGCTGGACTGAGAGAGTGGCTGTTCCAACATCAGCCAGTGAGTTCTCATGGTTGAGATGGAATTGAACCTGGGGTTCCTGGTTCTGGTCAAGTATCTTAGTCATTATGCAACACTGATACAGAGAAGCCACTGAGAGTAGATTATCATATAAGTGTCTAATCAGAACCAGCATCATTTTCATCATGTTGAAGATGCACTATCCGATTAAACCTACCTGACCAACTCTCCCAGGATGTTTCAAAGCTAAGCCTCCACTGGACACGGCGGCAGCAACATTTCCTTCTTGATCAATAACAATTGCTCCAACGGTGTCCAACGTTTCTGACTCATTTTCCTATACAACAGGAAAACAAAGAAAATGAAAAGATATCTTAGTGGTAAGATATTTTTGCAGTTGAAGATATATGGAGCCTAGAGCCAAGTAATTATCAATGGGGGACAGGATTATTCACTTTTCTTGAACAGATTGTACGTGCTCTACATCCAATCATTGAGATTACTTGCTAAGGTCAGTTTTTGCATCTAAGATATGAAGTTAATCTACAAGACAGAAGGCTGACTCAGCAGTGGCTCCAGTCAGGGAAATAGCTTTTATCAGTTTGTTCCAAATAAAACTTGATTAATACCGAAACACTTCTAATGTAGTATTTTCTTCCTCTGAATAAGCAAAATAAGACAGAGCTTTACTCAAAATGTATACAAGTCCCCAAGTTAAAAATGTCCCAGTTTAAGGACATCTTATGGTTATGTTAAGAATGGAGCCTATGTAGCAAAATTCCAGTTAAATGCACAATGATTCAAATTCACAATACTACTTATACGGTAGTTTAATATTGTTCCAGCCTACATACCAATTCAATTTAAGGACAGACTTTGGGAATGGAGCTCATTCTTAAACTGGGGGTTACCTGTAGTGTGAAGATACGTATGCAATGCCTTTTACCACATTAAGTACATCACAGTGGCATTTCAAGAGTAATTTTTTAAAAATTACATTTTTTTCTGCTAATAGTGACTAGGGTTAAAATAAGCAAAGTTGTTATTCTCTTTCTGATTCTCCATTTTCTTTTTCTCTTTTGGATACTGTTTGCTGTCTCTTATTCTTTACATAGCAGGGTACCATGGATGAGATACCTAGGAGTGGTCTGGATCAGGGGGTCTCCAACCCCCGGTCCATGGACCGGTACTGGGCCGCAGCATGCCAGCAAGCGGTCTGCAGAAAAAAGCAAAGCCCCAACCATGGAATGCAAGCAGCACACAAAACCACACACTTTCCAGTCCCCGGAAAAATCTTTCTCCATGGAACCAGTCCCTGGTGCCCAAAAAGTTGGGGACCTCTGGTCTGGATCATTACCAAAATACTTTCAAAATAAGGCTCAAGATCAAATGAAATTAAGTCATGGGCTGCAAATTGCCCAGTTCTGAAATATATTTTTAATAAAATGTAAGCTCTATTGGACTCAGATGGAACTTACTGCTCAATGCAAACAGACAGAACAGCAGTGAAAGGGGTATGTTTTTACAATTAATCCCTAAGTACCCCAATTTAGGGCTACGTTTTTCTGAATATACATTCACTGATAACTGAATGAGATTTAATATATTCCTGGATTTTTATCTTGTTTTATCCTTGTTTTAAGATTACGCCAAAATCTGATATAAACAAATACACAATGCATTTATTTTTAAAGTAATCATTTTTAGAAGCTACGGCTATTGGCAAAAACAAAGACTAGAGTTCCAAGCACCATTTTACTAATTATTTATCAGCTGGACTTTCAAAGGATCTTCTGCCAGAGCTTCCCATTACAAGCAAGTACTGCACATGAGTTTCCCATCCAAATTAATATAGAGGAAAGTATAGCTATGTATATACTTCTTTCTAATGAAGATTAAAGTCATTAGAACAAAAGCACTCCAAGAAGCAACCAAAGGCCATCATAAATCCTCTTTAAACTGAATGACTTTGGTTCCAAGAGAGAATAAAAGTTGTAAATCTAGTTCATTGCATTTTGCCATGCAGAAGCTCCAATAAGTTATGGAAAACGAAGTGTTTATGAAAACATATGAGAAGCAATTGTAAACCATTTTGGACAACTGAAGCCTCTATGGCTCTTGTGACCTTCTTGCTTTGCAAGTTCTCGAGATTTCTCATCAAAATGCCAAAAATAAAATAAAATAAAATGAAAACACCATTTCCTGCCATTTTGAACTGAGAATCAGGTAAAAGCTGCAATGCAAGTCTTAAACTGCCCCTTCCTGCAACTCCCTCTGAAATCCAGGGGGAATAACAGTGGTGTCAATACTAGGGACATGATCCTATCTATATTCCAATGACATCTCTCATGCATTAATAAGACTTCGATCTGCCAAAACATATTAAATTCAGCTCTTGGAAACCTTGCTTTACTTAAAGCTATTGTAGCTTTGGATAAATCTAACTTTTTTCATTCAAAAGAATGGTGTTTTTCTTATGCATTTGTCCTAGATGATTGTTGGTCTGCTAGTTTTTAAGGCAAAGTTATCAATGTGTGATGCCTCAAACTGTTTTGTTTATCAGCCATCCTGCTTGGAGCCAGATGCAGATTTGGGCTGAAGACTGACTGACCTTAAATCACCCAGCTGCTTTCTATGTTTAAAGGAGGACTAGAACCTGGCTTTTTCTACCTCTAATCTAAAACCACTAACCCCTAAAACCACTCTATCATGGTGGCTCTTTTTCCGCTCCTTTTATTTCCAAGTGATTTTTTTTCCCAAAATCATTTTCATCATTGGATTCTGAAAAAAATAAAATTTCCCTATTAAAAATCACTCTATGGACACCAAGTTTATTGTACACATATGGAAACTAAAAATAAATGGATCTAATACCAAAGAACTAAGCAAAATAGAGGAAGGGAGGCGTATATTTCTAATAATGGAACATACCAAGGGCAACCACAGCATATACATTCCTAAGATCCCCAAACTTCAGGAGCTGAAGCAGGGAGGGCAATAGGAATACTCTAATCCACACACACACACACACACACACACACAAAATGAAAAAATGCTCACAGCTGTTAGACTGCAACCCTTCAGTGAAACATCTGCATCCTGAAGACAAGTATCTAAGGGCACTGTTTTTAAGGCTCCTGCAGCATTCAATATTGTGCCAAACATTTGGCAGTTATGATTTTTAAAATTATACTGATTTAATGGCCTAATTTAATGGCCTAATATTTAATTTAAATTATTAAATATTTTAATTTAGATCAGTTGTTATATTTAATACTTAAACTTTCAAATTCCTTTGAACATATATATTAATTCATCAACAGCTCTTACCCCTTGAACATTCCTGTAAAATTGTCCCCTAATCCTCCACAGTATTCAACATTTATTTCCTGTCCATTCCAATGGCATCCCTAGCCATGCCTCTTGCAGTTCTCACACCTAGCTCTAACCCTTTATATAAAAATACATTGGATCTCAAGAATAGGAAGTAAAAAGACAACATAGCCCATTCTAAGATTAGCAATCAGAGATATATTGTCTACAAAATAACATTAAAAAGATATGTATATTTATAAAGATGCCCGTTATGTATTTTCCATGTCACCATCTAAATAAGGGAGATCAACCTTATGATTTACAATTCCGAATCCCCATGATTGAAACACATTCAACAGTAAAAGGAAGTTTTGTTCATTCCTTTCTCCCAAAGCGATGACTAAAAAAAATGTTCCGGAAGTATTAAAGCAGGGTGGATAATAACCGATGATTTAAAAAAAAAAAAAAATGGATTTTTCTGATTTAAATTGGATTTTTTTTATTTTTATCAAATTTATTTTAATAAAATGCTTTTGGAGTAAAAATCTATCTAAATATAGTTTTCTATTTAATATACATTAATAATTTAGTTTATTCAGCATGAAATGGAGCTTAGCTATATAGCATGAGGCTGTATATTCTGCAATATTTGCATTTTTGGTAAACTCATTCAATCAATCCAAGCTCTGCAAACTGAGATAACATGCACTGCATTGATGCATTCACACAGTTTCACAGAAACCATGAGACAAATCATAAAACAAAGTTCAGGAATATTCCTTTATCCCATTGTTTTGCAAATCTATGTACCTTACAAACTGTATGATTGTTTGAAGAGAAAGGCATCTGTACCAGGTTCTAAGTGTTTTAGTTAAAAAGAAGAATTTGAGTAGTTTTCCAACTATGTGTGATTAACCTATTAACCTAAAATCGGTTCTGATATCACTGTTTTACTAACCTGACAGCTTATTATTCTAAATAGGAAACCTTCATTCTGTTTGCAAATAATAATATTAAAGATTCTAACTACCAGCAAGAATGAGTCCTTATATTTGAACAGCACCTGTCATTTCAGATGCATCATGGCAGCGCCTGTTAGCGGGCATCCACTCACCAGCTGCCCGCCACCTCTCTCACCTTGTTGTGTCACTGCCGCATCATCAGCAGTCCCATTAAAGTGAATGGGACTGTCGGTGAGTCAACAGCAGGTCAGAGGAGAAGCTGCTGCGGGACAGAGATGACAGCTGCTCTTTAAAAATTATGATTTAAACCGAGTTGATTTAAACCAATCCTTTTTACTAGTGATTTAAATCAAGATTTGAATCGGGATTTAAATCGACTTGATTTAAATCAAATCCATCCTGCATTAAAGATTCCAAAACTGAGGGGCATTTTATCTAAGAAACAGAGACAAACGGTATCTCTGGGAGCCAATGATTCAGTGACTGCCTGGACTAGTCCCTTTGGTTTTTGGAAATGGTTTCCCATTACTTGCTTCCTAGAAGAAAGTGACTGGTCCAAGGTCACCCAGCTATTTTTGTGTACAAAGCAGGACCTGAAGTTACAGTCTTCTGATTTCTAATCTGGTGTCTCAACCACCATACCAAACTCATTGCTTTCCAATTTCCTCAACAGTAGCGGGAACTAAATTATATTTTTGCAAAGGGAAACAATTATTCCTTTTACAGAACAGCAATTCTGTTCCTTCCTCGTATCAATTAAAGGGGGGGGGATTTTTTTTTTTTAGCTAAGAAATCACTTGTATTTCAGCAGCCATAAAACTTCATCCACTTACTATAAAGTTCAATTATACTGCTTATTATGAATTGTTCAAGTAAAACAATCCAGATTTTCATTTAATTATGCAACATAGCCATATGACTAGAATATTGTTTTAGGTCAAATTCAACATCTGGCATCAAATCATAAAAGAGGTGAAAATGCTATCAAGTACATTTTCTTGGCAAAGTTACAGAAGTGGCTTGCATTGCTTTCTGGGATGGCTTTTCAACTCTCTCCATCTATGACTCCAGAAATAATTGGATTATTGTAAAACAAAGAGGAGACATACACAAAGCATTGCTGGAAGTACTTTATAAAGCATGTGTCTCAAACATCTGGCCTGTGGGCCACAGCTGGAGCACTGAGGTCTTTTAGTCTTCTAAGGCACTACCAGAACCCATCCTGCCTCATTGCCTTGTCACATGTGCAGGTGCCATGCCGGTGATGTCACCATTTGTCTGTGCTAGCAGCCCATATCTTTGTATGCAGAGCAACACAACGGTGATGTATGGGAGAACAAAAGAGTTGGAGGCTGCAACCAGGGCAATGCAGCATTCTACTACATTATAGTAAGCAACATATTTTTGTTTTTAGTAACAATTACTGTCATGTAGTTTATGTATTTTGTTTATAAAAACACATAATTTAAATTATTAATAAAAATAATATTTCTCGCATTTTGCAGAAGTTCAAATACTGCCCACTAATTAGCTCATTTTACGCAATGTGGTGTTCAGATTCATTTACATTTGACACTCCTTGGTATAAGGAAAGGGTAGACAATCTTGGCTCTTTATGACTCGTGGACTTCAACTCCCAGACTTCCTGAGCCAACATGGTTCAGCATGGAAACCTCTCCCTTTTTCCTCAGCATGGCTGGCTCAGGAATTCTGGGAGTTGAAGTCCACGAGTCATAAAAGAGCCAAGTTTGCCTACCCCTGATATAAGGTATCAGAACAGAATCTTGACAACTCAGGTACTGATATTGCAGTTCTACACATACATTTTATAGCATTTCTCAATTCAGTTGTGAATGTGGCATTCTCCCATTCAATGTTATAACAAGATATATGAAATCTCAAATAACAGGTTGATAAGCTCATGTTCTGGCATATTGGAAGCATTGACTTGCCCTTTATAATATGAATTAATATCATTATCAACCTTCCTGTAATACTTCTAAGGATCATTGTTTTCTTTAGATATTTCTTTTTTTAAAAAAAACCCCAAAATAAATACCTGAATAATAGATGAACTTTTTCTCTGAATCACTTTCCCCACAAAAAGAGATCACAAAGCAATATGTTCTGCAGATGTTCTTGCATATCTTAATTCCTCATAGCAAAATACGCTAAATATATATTCAAAAGCTATATTCAGCAACAAGAAAATCAGGATGCTGAAATTAATCTTAGTAAACAAATATCAACCTGCCTTTTGACTAGAGGACTATTCTGGATCAGTCAATGCTAGATAAATGCCCAGACATGTTTACCTACCTGGTATTTAAGGTTTCAGCCCTTTCCAGATCCACAGAATATGCTTTAAACTGAGAAATTTTCATCAAAATCTTAAACTGGAGAAAATGTCTCAACAGATATTTATCTTTTCATTTTGCATTTGTCATGCACATTCTGAAAAAGTGAAAATAGTAAAATATATCATCAAGCTATAATGGTGCAGTAGACTTGCTCTCAGATAAAATAATGGCTTGGATTCAAATATGCGTGTAATGGCAGCTCAGAAAAAAACAATGATACTTAAAATTAATCATAACAATGGCTTGCAGTTATGATTAAAATGCACATGTTTTAATGGATCTACTCACATACGTTTTTTTAAACCTAGCATATTATATTTCCTTCATTTTTTTCCCACTTATTTCTTACTCAAATTTAGGCATGCACACGCACACACACACACGCCACAATGCTCACTTTCAAGATAAATGGCATTATTCAGAATGCAGAAAGGCTTGACAGGAGAAAATATAGTTAAATTTAAATACTGATGTAGGCTTTCACAGCTGGTTATCTGTTGGGCAGCGTTGGACTTCAGGATTTAGTGACCATGGACTAGACAATAGATTTCATGATGTTTCCTACTGAGTAAAAAGAGTACTGGTCAGTACTGACCTATTTTGGTTAATAGATTACAAGCATAACTAACATTCAGTGTAATCCCAGGTAAACTAGATATCTAATCTAGGAACTATTTTGGAAACCAACATATTGTTGTCTGTATTTTACCAATTGTAAATAGGGAACATACTGACACACACAGGTATAAGAATATACGATAGATTATTCCACATATTATATTGCCTAGACCCATGTCCATGTATGCAAGGACTTTTCACAAATACAATCTGACTGATTGTTCCTCAAATAAATAAACACTCCAAAGAAACATTAAATTAATTAGAAGAATGTAGTATATGAAAAAAACCACATACGCAAGTACACACATATACACATTACATTATTTTCAGTTTATTGAGCTGTTAACCTTTGTTGAACTTTGTTGAAGTATTAAGAATGACTAACATCTTTCTCCCCAGATACTGACCTTTTCACTTGTTTGTCGTCTTTTCTTCAGCTGAAAAAGATTTGTTTCTACTTTTTCAGCCAGCTCTAGTTTCCTCTTGTTCCTTTTAAAAGCTGCTAAACTAAGTCCTGTAAAACATTTAATAGCATTTACATTTCTGAAGAACTAAAACTATTAACTTTAGTAAATGCAACTCTTTTGATTTTCACTCAACAAACTCAAGCATATATCCAGCATCTGTCTATTGATCTAAATATTTCTTAACTAGCAAATTCCTACACAATTTTAACCAAGAGACATCGCTTTTAGACAATCAGAAAAAAAGAAGAAACATGTGATCCTGATATATATAATTTCATAAAATTAGGACATGAGCAGTGCTATAGTTGATACATTTAAGAAAATAAAAGTAAATTAAGCAGATAATAACCGCAATCTCAAATGCAGTGAAATAAATTGGTTAGCCAGACTCTGAATTTTTCTTCTCCAGCCTTCAAACACTGAAATAGTAAATGGGTGTTCTCAAAGACAATCTCTAATAACCCTTTCAGCTCTAATTATGTCCATTTGTCTGAGTGATGCAATTTTAATAGGGGCGTTAAGAAATTGTTACTTCCACTAAACACAAGATTGCCTGCCAACTTTTAAGGATCTGAATTGCTACCTTGCCCTCTTTTAGAAAAACCCTTCCCAGACTAAAATTATCATGTGTACATGTCATTGCAACTGTTTATATTTTCTCAAGTATTTCTCTCCTAACAAAAACCGAAGAAATTCAGCTAGGAACCATAAGCAGTCTACCACTTAGACACGGAAGAGATCCATCTTTACTAAGTTCTTAACATACTGTGTCATCATGGGTCGTCAGGGGATGCCTTGAGATCAGTGGGGACTTTCCAAACTCTTCTTTATTATTGAATAAGAGTGTTTTGATCTTTTCTCTCAACACTTTGTTTTTTTCTCACAAATATCTAGGTGAGCAACCCTGTTTAGTCTTTTTGAGTCTCTCAGCATCTCATGGTGTTAATAAAATCCTTAAAATGAAATTTCCTTAATTGGGACAAACTTAAGGTTTTTAATTTACATGAATAGCTGCTCCCTATAAGGTTGCCTATTTTCCCAAGCAATCAAACCACACTGCAGTTTTATGCAACTTTCAGCAATAGTCATAAATCTGAAATATTTATAAACCCTGAAACCTAAATGATTTTACGCATATTCCCTTCCCCCATGAGTAAAGTGATGTCATTCCATTTTCAAAGAACGATTCGCTGGATAAAAGACCTGCTGTTTAAACTCAGGTATTTCACTGACTGCTTTATTGATATAAACAAGTTAAGCGTTTTATTCTATAATGAACAGAAAAATTTGGAAAATTGCCTTTGGTGAAAAATAAACACGACCATACAAATTCTTTGTAGTGAGATAAAAGCCTACTATTTCACTATAGAATATGGAACTTTATGTCCTGAGTAATTCAACAGAATCATGTTGTAATCTTCTTCCAAGATCCTCAAGCCCAATTAACATCAGCTTGATTATGTCCTTAGATGCTGTTTTCCTTTAGTTTTTGAATGCTGCAATTTCTGGTACAAATGCATATTAATTTATCTTTTTGCACACTATCTGTGCTATACAGTATAAAGGAAAAGGTGCATTGCTAGCAAATGCTAATGCATAATCAATAACTGATGAGAAAGGGAATAAACTCTTGATGTTACTCTTACAATCCTGTAAGAGTATTGCCTATTTACATATACAGATTTGACATCTGGCCCAATTGCAACTTTGAATTTTATGCCATTTTATATACTCAAGATGGACAGTATTTAATATTTATTTTTATGTATATGTAGGGTGTGGGTCTATACATATGTTGTACATAGTATGTTTTAGGTATGTGTCACACTTTGAGAGCAGGCAACTAAATTTCATTTTTGATGTGTGCTGTTGTGCCCACAGTAAAAAATGACAATAAAGGTTATCTTATCTTATCTTATCATCTTATCTTATGTGTCCTTGTCGTGAATATGTTTTAGGTTGAGGCGTTGTGGAAACAATTACTTTGCCTGAGGAAATTGAACAAGAAATCCTCTGAACAGATTTCCATCTTGTTTCAGTTGCTTTTGTTGCATTCCTACCGAGACTGGCCATCTTGCAATATTGCTCCCAGCCGCATATGCCAAATACACAGAACTTAACTCATCTGAAGAGGAGGTGTCATCTTCTCTGCGCTCTACTCAACAGAAAATTGGCTATCTGCTAGAATGCCATTTCTATTTTTCTAGAGGCCATTATATTAGGAATTCTCTTTGTTTACCCACTCAGTTGCCAGGCAGACTTTAATAGATCGTAAGAAAAAGGTGAGGTGAATCATATCATCAGTCTTAGTTCTCATATACAGTGCATCACAGTCTACAGTATATGGAGAGGGGAAAAATGGAAGGTTGGCACCAGCTTTGAGAAGAACAGAATTCAGCACCTTCCTATTTTGGTTTGAAGAGAAGACAGTGGTCTCTAATTTTGTCCCAGATTGAGATTAAAGGTTCTGCCAATGCAGCCAGCAACTGCTATTTCTTCTATATACTTGATCATTCTTACAGTGCTAATTTCCAAAATTCTACTTGAAATAATATATACTTTTCTTTGTTCCTCTACCTTCAATCAAGTCAACTGAATAAATGTTAAGAAATGCAATTCAGATTCGTTGTATCTGCAGTATACTGAAATTTAAAAGAAGAAATTTAATTATAAATTTAACAATATTAGAAATCATGAATGATCACCCTGCTTATTTTATTAACAGCATTAAAGCAATTATACTTCTATACTTGTGTAATATAACCATTTAAAGTTTTTAAAGCCCTAAAAAATTTAGGAGTAATCACAAAAAAGGGGGCATATATCTAATCCTCAGTAAAGCAGTCCAGTTCTGATCAATCACAGAGCACCCCCTGGCAGTCATTTTTGGTGTATGCTCAAAAGGCTCTGAAGATGAAATAATATGAAATTCTCTTTCAAAGACAAAGAGTGGGAAAGCAAAACTACATAGAAAACACTATATATGACAATTAATGCAATAAAAAAATATTTTTATCACAATCATAAACTCATAATGCCTCTATACCAATGAGAGATTTAAATATTTTAAGGTAACATAATGGTACTCTCTTGTTGCTAACATTTCAGTAGGCTGGCTCAAAATGACAGATTCCAATCTCAAAACTGTTTTGATCCAACAAACCAGAGAATGATTCTTGATTATCTATTTAAGTAATATCACGTTCAATTTAATGCGGAAAGTCAGGAAAGATACAGCATCTATCTAATGCAAGGAACACTTTCAAAGAAGAAATTATTTTTCTCTTCTCTTATACAATTACCATGATGTAAGGAGATAAAGTGAAAATAAAAACCAAACATAATAAAGGAAATTATAACAGAAAATTAGCAGCTAATATCCATTTGTGCAGAATGCTGTGAGTACAGTTAAATACTACTGGGATGGGATAGTCTACAATGAAATGATTTTTAAAGAATCAGAAAATATGCAGTCATAAATTAGAAATAATTCTATATAGACTGGTGTAAATAAATTATACAAATTATATACAAATACATCATTATTATTATTATTATTATTATTACGGAAAGTTAAAATTCCCCAAACATAAATAGCAATGGCACTTTCAATAATCTCAAACAAAATATTTGTTTTGCAGTAGTTGTAACCTGCCTCATCCCAAAGGATTCTGAATGGTACATAATATCAAGCAAATTTAACGAAGACAAGATATTTAACAGAAATCTTCATATCTGCAGTGTTTTAAAGATCTGTAAGATATAACTGTAAATCTTACATGTCTTTTTCCTTTCTACTTTTGCAAGCCTGTGATCTTCAAACATTTTCTCAGTAGTAATTGAAAAATCTGCTCTATATTATCCATAATTTAACCACAAGCTGAATAAATCACCACTTCCAATCAAATAAAACACCACCAGTGATAATTGCAATAATTAATTATTCATTAAATGTATATGTCGCCCAACTCTCAAAGGCTCTGGGCAGTTAACCATCATGAAAAACAATAAAACAGAAAAGGACAAAAATGGAGAGATAACAAATCCAAATGGGAACAAAGAAAAATAAGAAAACGGGTTTTTGCTTACACTCGCCAAAGTCCTTTGTGAAAAGCCAGAGCTTTAGGACCCTTCAAATTACTAGTTCTGTGGGACTTCTCGGATCACAGAGGAACCTCACTCCAGAAGACTACAAAGGTGGTGGGCTTCCAGAGTCCAGAAAGATGGCATTGTTTAATTGAAGAAATCTGGAGCACAAACCAGTCCTGCCAGATCAAATTGGCCATACTATCAGGCAGATACTATGGCAGACAAGCAGTCTGTCGAGTAATCAGGTTCTATGCCAAGTAGGCCTTTATAGGGAGCAACCCACAGCTTGAATTTTAATATTCAAAAATTACTATTATTTACTATATTTACTATAATGACTTTGAAATAATACTTACGGTGCAATCTCCCTATAAAAAGGCTGATGTGACTATGGTCCCCTATAAAAAGGCTGATGTGACTTGTTTAGGTACCTAAACAATTCCATTTCACTGTTTTCGAGTGTCCCTTTAACACTTTCAATTGTAATTTCCAATAAAAAGATACTTACTTGTTGCCATGACACCTGGAGGACAGGCTGATATCCCATGATCCACTGCCCATCTGAAGGCTCCCTCAGCAACTAGGAAACTGCAAAAAAAGAGAGAACGAACAAGTGGCTGGGATAAGACACTCTGGCAGGAACTATTTTCATATCTTTCAGTATAACGGCAAATTATTTAACTACTTTCTAGCTAGTAGAATTGTTCTAATTAAGTCAAAGCAAAATTGCAGGAAACGACAGAAAACATGATATTCTTTAGTGTTAAATGATGCACAGCAGGTTTGTTTTAGAAGTAAACTGATTATCACTGGCATCTACTCTTTTTAATAATCCCATGATCTAAGCTGCATTTTTGAATCTATGAAGAAATACTACAGGTCCAAAATATTTAACTGAGATGCAAATTAAATTTTACTAATGTTGAAAGGAGCAGCTATCACATGCCTTGGCTTGATTTGACCTTCCCAAACCAAAGAATAGCTTTCTTCAGAGCCAGATTTAACATTCTTCCTCAGCATTCCTACAGGGCAGGTATAAGAGAACACCAACAGCAGAACGGGTATGTATATGTGCTAAAGGAGAAGTCAAAGACATCTCACATGTTTTATTGTACTGTGAGTTATACCGAGTTTATAGGACAGCATATATTCTCTCCTTATTAGAGAGATTGCCAGGGAGGGCAGACAACTTTTATGTAGGCTTTCTCCTCCAGGTCTCAAACCCTTCTATCACGCATGCAGTGGCAAAATACTGTGTTGCAGCAATGTCCACAAGAAAAAAAATGGTTACAGATTTATAGCCATCAACTTGTGCCAATTTTTTGGAGATATCTCTAATAATGTTTGGAACATTATATTTACTCACACATTAATCGGCTATCCACTCACGTAAACTAGGGAGTGACCCTAACATTTTGAGAACATGTATTTTCTTAACAGGGATGTTATTATTTACTATTAATGTCAGTACTATTTTTATTTTATTTTTTTCTTAATATATTGTAAAAAGTGATGTCTATTGCTGGTCAATGGCCGTAATAAAGTTGTTGTTGTTGTTGTTAATAATAATAATAATAATAATAATAATATTCCAATGGGCAGCACAACTCACTCCACTTATGTAATTTTTTATGTAGCTCAATAAAATAGCTTGCATTTTTGTAGATTTTTGGGAATGCACTCTCATTAGAATTGGATATTCAGAAAATTATTTTTTTCCCTCATACTTGGAACACCTCTATAGAAAATAGGCATAATTATAGTTTATGTTCAATTGCTTATGAAAATTAAATCAGTTAGAAAATATTATTTCCAGAATAAAAATTATCATGACCATATACACTTCAACCTCAAATCAGCCAATTCTTGAAACATGTGTTTTGTTTTGAACTTAGAACACTCAAACAGCTTTTTTGAATGTTCCAAGCTCAAAAAAACATGTGCATTCCAAGAGTTTTGTTCCAAGGTAAAATATGCTAATTTAAAAAATTTAAATCTGCCAAATTGTTGCTTGTAAGAGTCTATGCTGACTTTCTGCACTAAAGTTACAGAGAAAATGACCAATGGATTGAGTATTTTTTACAGGAAGGGACACAGAAAATATAATTTCTGTCTGCCCAGATGGCTGTTTATCTCCAAGCCTAAACAGAAAATGGCTGAAATTGTAGCTATTTCACCTTGTTGAAATGTTAGGTAAACACCACAAGTTCTTAAAAGATGCTGGGGTATGGAGGCATATTGATAATTTTTTGTTTCCTAAAAGGAATTGTTAATTTTTCCCCCCAATATCAATTTAAATAGGTTACTTTTGGTAACTGTCATCTACTTGGATTTGGGCCTTAGGGAATGAAAGGTATAAGTTTGTTCTGATACCCATTATTTTTGATGCGAATATAGGGTGATGTTCAAATTTGGTTCTCTTGGAATACTTGAACCTTTTCAAGTTATTGTGTCAAAACGCAGCCAATAGAGAAATGTTCTGATGAAATGTTTAGCAGGGCTATTTTGTTCTGCGTTCAAAATGAAATATATTTTCCATTTTGTCTATAAATGGAAGCATATGTTAAAATTTTATAAATCTGGAAGTTAAAGGAGATGAAGACATCTATGTTTTTAAAACAATATTTAGTTTGACATTTACTGGACTTAAAGCTTAAACATCACAATAGAAGTTTTGCAATTGTGTAAATATATATATATAAACAACCACAGTGAAAGAAATTATGAGTAGAAATATCCTTAATTATGAATTCTATTTACAGCCATAGTGAAAACATAAGATGTTCCAAGACCAATAAACTAATCCAGCCCTCATCTAAACAGTATGTTATTGCTGATATATATATATATATATATATATATATATATATATATATATATATATATATATATATATATATATAAAAACAAGCTTCTATCAATAAGAATAACTTTCAAAAATTGCATTACAATTAAGGAGGACGAAGAAACAATAAGAAGAAAAAGCAGAATAAAGTAATTACCAAGGCGGAATTCTGCCAGCAGATAGTTTTCCCTTCTGCCCTTCACATAATAATTTATTTGCCACGGAGACAGGATTTTTGATTCCTGAAAAACACAGTTTATCTAAGAGAATAGCAACATTGTGTTATAGACGAATGGCAGTACATTAAACATATGCCTTACTTTTTTTTCAGATTTTGGTGTTGAAAGAAACTAATATTAACTAATAAGAAAAAAGTCAGACAAAAATTTATTCACTGAATCCTATGTTAAAATGATGATCCAAATCATGTCACCCACACTAGGGCCCTTTTTCTCAACAGAAACATATATTAAAGGATGGGTTCACTTGTCAATATTAAAGATCAGAATATAATTTTCTTTCTTAAAACAAATTGAAATATACAATCATATACATATAAACAAATATCATTTCCCCTAAATGAATATCGCAATGTTAACTTACACTATAAGAAAAAGTTTTACATATATACACTATTAAAGTGATACATATTCAAGAATTCTATCTACTTTTACTGTATTCATTTTCAAAGATATACCAAAATAACTGTAATATGACCCCTGCATTTATTTATTTTTTAAAAAAGGCCAATGAATATGAACAGTATGATTCTAGGTAGTATTAATATGTTCCAAAAACAGGTATATTAAGCCAAAACAAAGAAAAACCAATTGCTACCCTGATTATCTAAAATCATGCTTATTTCAATGGGAAACATTCTACTGATTTAATATTTCTTCTATGTTCTGGATTCAGACTATATTTTTCTGCTTCTCTCTCTCTCTCTATCATAATAGCATACCTATTTCAGGAAATTTCATCTACCACGAATCATTGCCAAGAACATTTCAAATGCATTTATTTGTTTGTTTGTTTTTTTAAAAAGGCCAATGAACATGAACAGTGTGATTCTAGGCAACGTATAAAAAATCCAAAATAAAGCAGCAGTTGGCAATAACAGTAATAATCACTAGTATGTGACTTGGCTCACATTTCTATCCTTTATCAACTTACTCATCTTGGCCTCAATGTGAGATTGGTTGTGACATGACTAAATATATAGTCAAAGATCCTTCTGGTATCAATGTTACATCTTTGAGACCCTAATTTACATACCACTGAGAGCTCCCACTGCTCCAAAATTTAGTGATTTTCCATCCATAATACTGGCATCACATTCAATTTCACCTAAGAGGTTTAGATTAGATCCCATTCCTGCATTTGTAAAGGATGAATCCTATAAAGAAGTTTAAAGAAAAAACATATAAACAAAACATTCATATTATCACAACACACAACTTGGGTCAAATTATTGTTATTGAGCCAATGTGTTGCCAATACTCAGCCTGCTAATTTTAATTCATGATCACCTACAGAAAACAGAAGAGGATAGGAGTAAGACAGAAAAGAAAAAAAAAACCTGAGGGCAAGTGAAAGCAGAACTATAAAGCGAATAAAAGTGGCGAATGTTTTGATTTGATACACATTTATTCATCTGAGATACAGATTCCACACAGGTATGTTCTGGGTTTTCTTTAAAAATCCCATTTTTACCATTCCTTTTCATCTAGGCAATATAGGTAGTGAGACCTCTATTGTTGTCACACACTGCAATTAAGGGACAGGATATCAAGTGAAGAGCCTCCCAGATGACAATAGTAACTGCCAAACAATTGCACAAAAGCAAGAGGAGGAACAAGGATGGGAAAGGAGGTGTGAAACTTCCAATCTTTTACCCTATGAGCTCCACCATGTGGCTATAATCAGAAATTGTATATAAGCACTGGATCTAGAGAAAGTAGTTCTGGAACATGCGTGCACATGCGTGCATCCACACACATCATTCATCAGGGGCTTCATTTTTCTCCTTCCTAAATGAGAGATACATCTACATCTATAGAAAGTCCCTGTGAAGAGAAACAAAAGGAAACTCTACTGCTTGTTGAAGTTTCAAAATAAAAAAATTGGCTTTGGCTAAATGAAATGCAACCAAAATTTTGTAGTACAGTCAGCAGGAACAGAATTATTCAAGCAATCCTCTTTGGATCTATATGGGTATGGAAACAGTTTTCAGATATGCACATAAAATAATTCATGTACATAAATTTGCCGAAGTGTATGGATTTGTTCTCGGTTCCCTGAACACAACAGAAATGCATATCTGAGGCTACACATTGTATAAGAAGCTCTCAAAATGCAGACTCCAATGTAAATTGGCCTGAGAGCATTGTGCAAAATAAATGTGATTCTTTTTGGTTCAAGATGAAAATATTGCTTAGAATCCTCACTGATATATATATATATAGATAGATAGAGAGAGAGAGAGAGAGAGAGAGAGAGAGAGAGAGAGAGAGAGAGAGAGAGAGAGAGAGAGAGAGAGAGAGAGCAGTGAGGATTCTAAGCAATATTTTCATCTTGAACCAAAAAGAATCACATTTATTTTGGTTTATTTATTTATATGGTTTGCAACCCTTCAGAGCAACAGCCCATGAGATATGAGCAGCTGCTACCAGAAGAAAACAGTCTCCTTCCCTGATTCATAAGTAGTGCATGCAGATAGAGTTCAACCCCTATTTAATTCCATTGTGCTATTCTCAATTTTATGTTGAATTAAGACAGGTTTTTCAAAATTTCTTGTTAATAACTTGCTCAGCATTGGAAAAATGAAAAAAAAAAACACGATTGGATAAAGAGATAATCAAGAAAATACTGGACTGTGCTGAAATGGATAGACTTATATTGAGAATCAAAGAAAAAGAAGACACAGAATATTTTCAAACATGGAACTTATTTTATCAATGGCTGGAAAAACGAGAAAGAGAGTAAAAATTTAACTTCTATTACCAAGCAAAAAATCAACCCAGACAACACGTTGTTCATTAAGCACTAATGAATTGTAATAATAGAAAATTAATAAAATACTTTTTTAAAAAAATTTCTTGTTAACAACTGTTGAAACCAAAGGACAAAATACTGGAAAGCAGAAAACCCCCCCAAACTCTACTTCTTTGCTTACTGAATTCATTCAGATGTACAATAAACTGTATTATCAGCAGGCAGACGAAATATCTAGATTGCTGTTTATACCCTCAGTTAAAGGAAGATTTACTCTACTGTTCTAAATTCTGTTTTCATCCAAAGTTTGACCTATGGTCAAATGTTATTAAAAGAATTTCATACGAGCCATTAAGTATACAACTGAATGTACCTTGTTAGAACCTAATGAGAATCTCTGCTATTTCCTTATAAATTGTCTTTTACATCTGTACATAAACACAAGCTCCTGTTCTAGGTATTTACACCGGGGATGCAATCAATAAAAGAAAATACCTTAAAATCAATATACTATAAATCCACAAGCTTCCACTGCATTCTATACCAGTAGAATTAATTACTCATAGGCATTGATTGAGAAGGAAAAAAACACATTCAAACTGCAGGTAGTCCTCAGCTTACGACCACAATTGAGCCCAACATTTCTGTTGCTAAAGTGAGATATTTGTGAGGCGAGTTTTGCCCCACTTTACAACCTTCCTTGCCATAGCTGTTAAGTGAATCACTGCACTTGTTAAGTTAGTAACACGGTTGTTGGCTTCCCCATTGACTGTGCTTGTCAGACGGTCACAAAAGGTGATCGCGTGATCCCAGGGCCCAGCAACCATCATAAATACGAGTCAGTTGCCAAGCATCTGAATTTTGATCACGGGACCATGGGAATGCTGCCCTAATTATTTCATCCACTACGAGCCATGGACAATTTAATTGAGTCCAACATTCAGATACAACTTGCATCTAAGTCCTTCAGGGATATAAGATCCATCTTGCTCCAAAGCCAGCTGTACAACTTCACTAGAATCTGATCCATGGCAATTCCTTATTCTAAAAGCTTAAACATGACTCCTAAATTTGAGGGAAATATTGATTTCCTCCCTTTTTTTTCCTGACAGCAATTATATGTGGAGCTGCACATTTGGGAAAATGTTAAATGAATTAGATATGCTTTATGCCAACAGAGTGGAAACTAAAGAGGTGACTCCTTTCCTCCTCCAATTAATTCCAGTTTTGATCTGTTTATTACCTAACTGCTTCTGGCATTTGCTAATCACTAAAAAAATTAGATGGCATGCCTGGTCATAATCCAGATGAGTTTATGGTTTAAGAATTGCATTATACTTCATGACATTCTTTTTACAAAACACAGTTGTAGAATCTGGGTTAAGTAAACAGCCCATATATACTGTAGGATATAAAAGTGTCTATACTTTCTTTATTCTAATGACCTGGGGAAATAGAAGAACTCAGTTGCCATAGAACAGTGATGGCAAACCTTTTAGAGACTGAGTGCCCAAAAACTGGCCCCGCCCCTGCTCCACCCCTTGCCCTGCCCCCGCTCCACGCCCATCCCTCACCCCACCTGCCCACAGGACCACTCACCGCCTCCAGGGCCCACTGCAGATCGCCCAGGCAGCCCAGCAGTGCTATGGTGGCCACACCATCTGCCCTCGCCCTGCAGCATCAATTGCATGATAGGGTGTGAAGGCACAGTCTTGTCTACGCTGCCTGGCTGTCATGTCCTTGGCTGCGCTGCTCCGTGTGGGTCACGCTCAAGGGCGACTCTCCTTCAGGGGAGCTGCTGGAGAGGAGGGGGTCACAGGGAGAGGCAAGGCTGGGGCAACGGCACGTGTGTCCACAGAGAGGGCTCCAAGTGCCGCCTCTGGCACCCATGCCATGGGTTTGCCACCACTGCCATAGAATTTTGCCAGTGTGAGAAACTAGTCAAACCTTTAGCAACGTGCAGGAAAACAAACATCTTGGGAAGAAGGGGGCTGCATAAGTCTTCTTAAAAATCCCTATTTGATGTTTAAAAAACCAACCTAATTTGGTGGAGAAATTATGCTTCATGAACACTGAATTATCAAAAGAGATCAGTTAATTCATATGGAGCAAGCATGTAGAAATAAAGCCAAAACAAGAAGCTATCTGGCTACCAGCTCTATTTATCCACTTATCTCCATAAAAATCCAAATCAAATAATAGATCCTATTTCGTTTTAAAATCAGTTAATCCTGAAGCTTTCAGATTGCCACTCTCTGACTTGAACATTGTTAACTGATAAGGTACTGGTAATCTGTCTCATATGTAACCTGCATCTGCATGACCCATCTGCCTTCTTTCCTTTCTTTCCCTCCTTGCCTCACTCCAACTTAAATTCTGTATCAGTATAGCCACTCTATGAATCTCACAAAGTGAGCTGCACTTCACAAAAGCTTGGACCTTTTAATAAACTTTATTAGTTGTAAAAGGGGCTACCAGAGTCTGATATTTTTTTTTTTTGTCACCATAGACTAACATGGCTCTCCTCCTACAACTTTATATTTTTAAACTACCGTAGCAAAATCAGTTGATCCAAATCTTAACTAAAGGTGTCATTATAGTTGCCATGAATTTTTTATACTGAAAAATAAATGCATACTTTTCCTAAGAAAACATATTCAGGTTCCCTAATGACTTCCTCATCTGATGTGAAGCACACATAAAGGAGTTTAGCCCCAGTTATCAATGAGAGAAGAAAACTGGAATGCTCCCAAGATAATCAGCCCATCACTTTCTTTGAAAACAGAGGAAACCAAATGCAACAAAGGAGCAATAAGACGTTTCCAGAATATGAACGGCCTAAGAGTTCTATTAAAATACATCTTACATATTAAAAAATTATATGTTGTCAATCAATACATTTAATACAAGACAAAAATGAACAGCAAAATACAGTCAAACTGCCATCAAAAGAAGTCCTGAATAAGTGCAAGTACCTCTAGTTCAACTAGCGCTGCAGTCACTGCATCTGTTACAAGAGCCCCAGCCTGTAGCTTTTCAATTGCCTAGAAGACAGAATTTTAGGTATAAAGTATTGCCTCGTAAATATTTTACATACTAATTTTTTTCTACACAATAAGGCCCAGTGAGTCATTTGGTCCCAAAAGAGAATTGTTCAAAGTTTCAAAGAGTGGATAATGACTATCCTTAGGCAAAACAAAGGACCCATACTTTCCTTACATTTGTAGTGTCACTTTATCTAACGTATCTGACTACATTGAGAACATCCTTGTTTCAAAGAAGAAATGTCGTTAGGATAGGAATATCAAACTGAATTTAATGAATTTAATTTAATTGAAGTTGATGGAACTGACTAAGATGGCAAAAGGAACTACCTTGATTAAAGGAAAGTCTTTGTCTAGCTCTTCCACATAGCTTTTCTATGTGGCAACCACTTTTGGACTTTTTGCTGAAAACTAAGAAATATTAATTTGCAGATTTGATGATGAGAATTGTTCACGATTACAATAATACTGTGTATTATTGAATTTTAGATCAAAAGGTTAATGTATTTTAATTTGTAACTGCAGCGAGGAAAGTTAAGTTATCCTTTTCCTACTTTTCTTTCTTTATTCCCCTGTACTTTTCTTTCCATATTTTCCTTAATTCCTTTTTTATATTTTATCTTTTTGTAGATATTTAATAAAGCGTATTTTAAAGGGATATGAATAATAATCCTATCCTGTATTTGCACCAAATAAGTGCAAATATTTCCTATTACATGAAATGGGAAGCAAAGCAGAAAATTACTAATTGATTACAGATGTTTTTAAAATAAATTTCTGTTCATAAACTGATTTTTTTTTACCAAGCTCACTGCATTAACCTAGCACCACATTCAGCAAAAATCTTGTCCATTTGACATTTATTGTGCTACTTTCTGAGCAGGCAACTATACGGTATCCCAAAAACAGAAGCTGAAAATTATCGAAGCAGTTGATAAAATAGAGAAAGAGATATCCCTGGGAATATTTTACTCCAATGTTTCACATCTTCATTAAATCCCTAGGGTGTGGAAGATGCAACTGACGATACTACCGCTATCCTAAAATATTGATAATAACCTGGAACTCATTTCCTATTCCATATCTAGTCGGATTTCTACTGGTCCGTTAAGTGTAGCCTCCTAATTATATAATCAAGCGACACATTTTCAAATACTGCTTATCATTTTGGGAATTCTTTCATTTGGTATGTTTGACTTGCAACAGAAGTTATACAAGATTGTTACTTATGAAGGAAAGCACTTTTACAGCTAAGTCAATATTATTTCTAAGTCAAGAATAAGTAACCAACCACCACCAGCCAGAATTTGTTGGGCTAAATAGTTCTTCTTTCCAGACCACAAGCCATGAGAGCTGCTGTCCATCACTATCTGGAAGACCATAGACTTTACACTGCCATCCTACACAATTACTGCATATTGAGATGAAACCATCATGGCAGAGAACCTTACAAAATCTAATAAAGTTATATACTGATAAAATTGAAGTTCAAAGCAGGTTATAATTAATCTATCACTACTTATGACATATATTACACCAAATCCATGGTGAAAAACATTAACCAAAACCATTAATTGTGCAAACCTCTTTACTGCATATTCTTATACTTGGGTAGAAGTCTCATTACATCCAGCAGCACTTACACTCAGATAAATGCATATAAGATTGTAGGACTAATAAAGTGTGCTGTTTTCTTATTTCAAAACATATTAAACTTGCAGATTGGAAAAATAAAACAGTTGAAAGATCAAGGCATCGCCAGATGTTCCAGCAGCTAAACAAACAAACTCCATAATCTATAGTAAGAATAGGCACTCTAGTACCCTCCAGATGTCTGTATTCAACTTCCACCGATCCAGACAAGTATGGCCAATGGCAAGAGATTGGGAAGGGGGGCTCCAATATAAAGCAGCTGGAGAACATTAGGATGCCCAGTCATGGTCTAAACTTTCAACACAACAAAGACTGCATTAATACAAGTTATTTCTTCCATAAGGGCCAAGTGTCTCCTGAACTCTACAAGGGAGTATTGATTAACAAGTTCAAACTTGCTATTGTGCTGATTACATGTTTCATGCAATACAGAATACAAATAACTTTTCTTATATACAATTTGTTAAATAATTAAATGGAATTATTTAACAAATTGTATATAAGAAAAATTATTTGAATATATGAATATATATGGCCTAAAATTTTAAATATTTTTTTTTCTTTAAAAAATAGTGCAATTAGGAATTGTTTAAGAATGAAGTATAAGTAAAGAGATAACATTTCTAACAATTACCTTCTAACAATCTTACCTTCCGACAGGCTCTTTTGCACACATGTTTATATTCTTTGGCTTTGGATTCAGAATGATAACCTGCACCTGTTATCAAGGAATATGTAAGAGAAGAGGGGTAAAAGTACTGTAAGCAGAATAATTTTGTTTTAAAGCTTTTTCTAAAATAAACCTTTCCATATCAAAAATATTTCTACCTTGTAAGAAGACTACAAATGCACACTCTTCAGAGGGCAGCGCCTGTTTTCTGATGAAGGGATTATAGCCTTCAACTTAAATTCCTACTAAGTCTTTTTTCTAAAAGCATGTTTTCATGCATCATGCTATAAATCAATCTATCAAAAAGGCAAATTTAAAAAGGAGGCAGCCTTCTGATTAGCTGTTTCCTGCCAAATGAAAGCAAGCATAGACATTATACTTCCTAATTTAAATAAAAAAGCTAACTGGATTACCATAACTGGAAGGAAATGAGCAGATTATAGTTCAGCCACAATTGGCCTAAGAAACATGTCATGAAATATAAATATATATTCACCATTCTTTTCCCAATTTACCTGTGCTTCACATGTTTCCCACCTCTCTCAAAGTACCATATATGGTACTAAAACATTAACAACATCTACTGTTGTGATATTCTGACATGTACCTGCATGTACAAGTACAAATCCCACTCGTCTCACTTTTTGAGCTGGTTTGGCTTCATGTTCTTTTACCATCGTCCTTACTGTAGTGGCATGAGCTGACATAGGAGGAACTTCTACTGAGCTTATTCCCTTTTCCATGATCATACTTCAAGGCTATCGTTTCTTGTGGAACAGAGCATGCTTCCATCCAAGGGAAAACATGGGAAAAGAATCTTCCTGAAAATAAAATCAAGCAAAACTATCTCATTATTTTATCTATTTTTGGCTAAGGAGGATTCCATTCAAGAAACACATTCTGTTCAGAGCAGCTGCGTTGGAACCAAACACTACCCGGGTGCAAGAATTTATTTTCATATCCATGACTACCATAACATCCTGACAAAAATCCATATATTCAGCAAAATTATACAATACAAGCATGTATTAATTTGCTACTTATTAAGCTGTATAACCTATTTTAACCTTAAAATGAACTAGTGATAATGTTAAATTTTTATAAGCCTCCACAGATTTATTAGGAGTCTTTCGCGCTGGCAGAGATTAGGAAAAATCAGTTCCAGGCAGAATAGTATGATTCCTTTAACAACTAAAATAAGGCTATCTCCCGAAGTGTCCTTTTCCCCTACTCTCTCTAACTTGTATTCTTTCGCAAGATTTAATAGTGCCACAAAACTGCAGAGTCCTGAGTATAAGCAATCATTTAGAAGCTGAGAACATTCCCACCTCCACATAATTTTGTGCAAGAATTACCAGATTGCTCTAGGGAAACTCAAACAGGCTATTATTTTATATTTGCACTGAAATCAATCCTAACATTAGGATTTCAATCCTATGCCCTTAATAAGAAAGACACCTACATCAGAGTATAGTGTCTGTGGAGACAGCGTTAAGTGTGTCTCAACAACTGGTTATGGAGCCACAGAACAAGGCCAGGGAAAGTTCATGCCCAAGAGACCTTAAACACAATCTGTTGTTTGTCTCCTTGTTCTCATCAAGCATCTTACTCAGAATCAAACAGGCTGAGCCCACATTCTAATAAAAAAACACCAGACAATGATGGATATTTTACATCCTTCCTTCATAAAGCTTTTTTAGGAACACGGAAGCAGCAAAGGATTCGTTCCCCAATATTGTCATAGCAACCAGAAACATGGGGGCCCAGAGCCGGAAAATCTCCAGCCCGCTATTTGGGTTTGGTAATCTAAGGAACTGCCTTGCTGAACAACAAGAACGCATGCAAGTGAAGAAGAAAGTCTCCTCATCTCCCGCTTTAGATGAAAAATTTGGCCATCAGCTCTACCTCCATTTCCGTGAGGCTTCACTCACGGCCAGGTTCGACCCTCGACTAGGCAGGTAAGTCCCCGAGACGAGACACACCATTAGCTTCCTCCCATCACCCTCATGCTTTGCCTCCGCCCCACATGGCTGCAGTCTCAGGCATCCCGCAGGAGAGTTGCGGACCCCTTTCTCTCTCCCTCTCCAGCCGGGCACAGGGCAGGAGTCGCACTCTGATCACATCACTATCAACGCGCCCCTTGCCTCGGAGCGTGACGTCATTGCCCGCACCCCCAGGAGAGTGGGGAAATACCCTGCTGCCTTGCCGGCGGGGGTCGCTCCTTCGTTCTTCAGCTCCAGCCAGGTGTCGTTTCCAGGCTCGTCTCGTCCTGGATGCGGGCGGGCGGGCGCGCACACCCACGCATTTATCATCAGCCTCTCAGCGTTTTTTTATATCGGGATGGGGGGGGGACCTAGGTGTGCACATACATACACACACACACACACATATATAAAGAAAAACGACCAAGTCTATTTTCCGATCACTTCCGGTTCCGAATTGAATGTTTCCATCAGGTGCGAGGGCTAGAGTGGCGGAAGCCGAAACAATCTGAGCCGCTTTTTTCTTGATAGAAGAAAAGGCGGGGAATTTAAAAAGTTTCCCTTTTTACTCTATTAAAACAAACCCTACCTCTTTTCCAAAGGAGAAGAAAAGAAAAGGGGAGAGTAATTTTTCAGTTCCAGAATGTGTTTCCATGTTCTCTGCAGGACTGTTGGAGAAGGCTGATTTTTTTCTTTTTAGATAGATCAATCCACAAATACACTTCGCACACAAACACATACATCCATTTCAAGAGATTAGTCTTTCTTAAATAAAAAAAATATTTTTATTGGGACTGCATAAAGAGTTGGCCACAAAAGGAAGAAACTTAAATAGAGTAATGCTACATTTCTATGCAAATTTACCTGAAAGGAATCCTCCAGGGAACAAGGTAATGATGTACTATATATATATGTACTTACAAGCAGTTTCCTCCCTCACAATAAGTTGCATTGAAATGTCACTGAAATACTACAGTAGCCTTGTTTTCTTTTGACAAACCTTTGCTGGGAATCCAACTATCTCCTACTTGCAATCTAATAGCATAATATTCTAAAACTAAGTGCAGCATTTCAACCTGCAGCAATAGTATTATCCATTTTAATTCTTTGGTATTCTATTTTCATATGGTAGAGTCCCTGATGCTCTCCGAGTTTGGTTGTTTGTAGGTAGATGTTTTGTCACCAAACCAGGTAACATCTTCAGTACTAGAAGGCAGTAGGGTTTGCACTCAGTTGTTGGTGAAATGCTTTCTCCTTGGTAGTTCCTTGATTGGGGTATCATTTACTGCTTGACTGTTTGCCTGGTATTAATCCTGGGCCTAACCCCAATTCATCTGTTGATTGCTGGTGAGGAAGCATCTGATCTTTTTGTTTCCTTTTTAACTTTTTTATTGATTTTTTTGAATGATATGTAAACATTGCTTATGTACCTGTTGATGGCTGATTTGTCTGAGCGCCAAGCTTCCAGGAATTTCCTAGTGTTTTGGGATTTAGCTAGTCTAGAATACTCACAGTTCTCAGTAGAAATTATGGTTAAATCTGTTCATGTGAAATTAAGATGTCTTCTGGTATCTTCTGACTGCTAGTTGGTGTTCATGGATGCACTCTGCTAGTGTTCGGCCTGTCCTACATAGTGCCGTGTGAAGGTGCTTTTTCATAAGGCAACTGGACTTTCTTGCTTTTCTTTGAAGACTTCTCATCCAAGAAGCTTCCTCAGCTCTGAATGGATAGTGGAGAATGGAAGGATTTATACTCCTTGCAGAGAGCTGGTCATTTACATTCTTCTAAAGAGTGGTTGAGGCCACCTGGAGGTTTATCTATGTGATCAGGGTCACCTGAGTAGTGCAAATGGGTGTGGAGCCTTCTTGGAACTGCTGAAAGGACTGTGTTGTAGACTGGAGATAGATGATGGTGTATCCCTCCCCCTCTTTTGAGAGAGGTCTGTTCAGTTTTGACATAGATGGCCTCTTTAACCCTTCTTTCAAACCAGTGGTCCTCTCTGTCCAAAATGTGAACTTTGCTGGTCTTCAAAAACATGGCCTTTGTCTTTTTAACAGCCGATGGATTGCTGAATCTTGTCCTGATGCCATGCATTTATGAAGTGGTTGTTTTGTTTCCCCAATGTACAGATCTGCACATGGCTCACTGTGTTGTACTGCATTGTACTGCATATACCAAAACTGAGCAACATGGTATAGAGAGGACTGCTGATTTGAAAGAGGGGTCAAAGAGGCCATCTATGTCAAAACTGAACAGCTCTCTCTCAACAGAGGGGGAGGGATACAACATCATCTATCTCCAGTCTACAACATAGTCCTTTCAGCAGTTGTAGCTGGATAGGCATGGCCCGGTAGGTATATAGCAAGTTACATTAGACAAAGAAAATTGCCATACAATATAGTATGTGTGTTATGGGGATTCTCAGTGATCCAGATCATGGTTGTCCCAAAGGTACTTTTTCAAAAGGCAACTGGACTTCATTTTTCGTTGAAGATATTTCACTTCTCCCCAAAGAAGCTTCTTCAGTTCGCTTCAGTTTGCTTCTGAGAAGTGAAAGATCTTCATGGAAAAACAAAGTCCAGTTGCCTTTTGAAAAAGCATTGTATGGATGGCTGCCTTCTACTGGGCCAGCAATAAGACAAAATGAAGCAAGAACTTCTGTTAATACTCCTTGTTCATAGTAGCTAAACATTAAGAAACTTAATGTCCAACTCACTCTGGCAAATGAAAAAGTTTATGGAAGTTTGGAAAGTAGATCTTGCTCTGGCCCGCAAATCAGGTTGCTTTCAGATTGGAAATGATTTGCTGTACTTAAAAAAAAATGGCAATCTGGTGAATTAGCATAACCACTCCGGCAGGCAAGCAACGTATGAAATGGAAGAAACCAGGAAGCCGCTCAGAGTTGCCCTATTGTGGAGATGGGCAGCACATAAATTTAATAAATAAATAACAAACCAGGAAGAAAAATAAAAAGATATACTGTAGATCACCGGATCTTTAGTGCTGTCCTGATTTGGCTTTGCATGAATATTCATTCTACTCTCCTGACTCAGTCAATCCATTCATGCATACATTCTCTAATAATTGATTATCTTTTGGAAAATCTATCTTCCTTTTCTTGATCTTCTACTTTAGCTTTCGGGTCTGGTTTCCTCTTATTATCTCTACCCTCCAAGGTGATTCTTGCCAGCCTTATTTTCCAATTACGTAAGAACTGTGTCCCTAAACACATATGCAACAATCAATGTTCTCTCTTTCATGCTCAGTTCATGTCACATATTTTCTTTTTAGCGCCCTTTGAATTATAGTCAGTCCTCGACTTATTACCACAATCGAAGCTAAAAAATTTCCATTGCTGAACAAGACAGCTATTTTGGCCACATTTTCGACCTTTGTTGACACAGTTCTTAAGTGAATTAGTTAAGCAGTTGTTAAGTTAGTAACCCTTTTAAGTGAGTCTGTCTTTCCCAGACTTTGCTTGTTGGAAGGTCGCAAAAGGTGATCGTATGACCCTGGGACACTGCAACCGTCATAAATCCATGCCAGTTGCCAAGCGGTCCAAATTTTAATCATGTGACCATGGGGATGCTGCAACAGTCAGTCCTAAGTGTGAAAAATGATCAAGTCACTTTTTCATTGCCGTTGTAGCTTTGAACAGTCACTAAAGGAATAGTTGTAAGTCGAGGACTACCTGTTAAATCCCAACTGTAGCCAAATGTCAAGTCACGTTGAACACAACTGCCCCCCTTCAACATCTTTCCTTCTTTCTTCCCATACCCTAAATTAGGTACAAAATCCCCCAATCTACTTTTTGCCCATTAAATGCTACAAGCAGCAATACACACACACACACACACACACACACACACACACATATATATACACATACATACATACATGGTGCCATACAAATAGCAATAGTTGTTTATAATAGCAGATTGTGAAGTAGTAAATGCAAATGATGGTGTGTGTTGTTTTAATTTGTTTTTTTTAAAATTACACTCCCTTCTATGCAGTGAGACATGGGGCTGCCCTACCCTTCAAACATCAGAGTTTCCAGTGGCTAAACAGCCATCTGAATGGATGAATAAAGTTGCTACAGTATATTTTGGCTTCCTCTTGATTTGAAACCTTGTTCGGTTGGGAATCCAGAGCAATGAAAGGGATCTCTAACATCCATCTTTAATGGTGTGCATAGTCCGTAAGGATCACTTTCAGGTGAACAAGATTCCTACATTTGTAAATGCTCTGTGCAGGATAGAATATTGACTGCAACAGATTATTATGCAAACTTCATTTTGCCTCCCTCTTCCAGGGGACAGCAATACTCAGGAGTTAGTAGAAACCAAAGTATAAACTAAGTATACCTGTAATTTAAAAAAAAATCAAGTTCTTTCAATATGATTTCTGTGACTACAGTTGGTTGCTGTTATTGCAATCATTTATACAGTTAATATTCAGTGTTTAATTATTTAAAAATGAAGTGTGAACATTTAACATCAACATGCAACACCATTTTAGTCATCTCAAATACTGTAAAACTTTAAGCAGAAAAGGCAGGTTGCAAGGCCTGTAACATTTTTAGCACTTTGTATTTTATATTCATTCTTTAGTACCATTATTTATTTGAACTATGTGTCAGTGTGGCTTAGTCATGTTGTTTTTGGAGGCTGTGGGAAAGGGAATAAAAACCAACTGTCGCAGTTGATTGGAAATAATACATTTAATTCTGGAGGGCAGAAATAATAAAAAGCATGTGGGCCTATTTATCTCTGCTTGTCTGATCTTTTTCTTTGTATTATTATTACTAAATAAATCAAAACTTCTTGTGGTTCCAATCGTAACAACATCTGTAAGCATCTGATTTACATATTTAGTAATCACTATTATGGCTGCCAACTTTGAAAGGAAATGGCTGGATGCTAAATCACACTTTAAATGCATAAGCATGCACATTTTCATGGTTACTTTTCACTGAGTTTTTAACATTGATTAAGCTATCTGGCTATTCTTTTTCTCTTATTTCCTCAGTTTAGAAAACAATTCACTTCTTTATGGCTGCAGCAACAGGGAAACAGAAGCACAGCATTCTTGCTAAACAAAATATTAACTGTATTTGCCAAATATTGGTTAACTTGATAGCCCAATTCAGCTAAAGCAAATGAGACTTTGAAGTAAACAAGATTCTGTGAGGTTTGAAAAACAGGACAGCTTCCAAGCATGAAATACAAGCTGAAAATAGCATAAAGCTATTTCACCTCATTATTCTGCTTTCCTTGAGGACAAGCAAGACTTGGCATTCTCTGGTTCTCTGAACCCTCCTTTAGAGGCCTATTGGAGAATCATACTGAGGGAAGTCAGCTCCCCAAAGAAGGAAATATGAAAAGGGCAGAAAAATATATTTCCTCAAAA